ATCATCCGTGGTCAGAGTTTCTCATTTTGAATGAGAGTATTGAGGACAGAGCTGTTTAAAATGTATTTTTTTTTATATAAATACAGGAAACAGCTGGACACGATGGGAGCTGAACAGAGCGGCGATGCTGAGCATAAGCATTCGGACTACAGTGCTTCAGGTAGGACTCCACATAATCAGTGTTACACAGGTAACACCTTCCTGTTTCCAGGCAACACGTCCTTTTCCAGATGAAGATAGCGGTGCCTCTCGGCTTTCCTGTACAGCGGAGAGCAGAAGTTTGAATAACTTATTACAGTATATATATATATATACCAACAAATGGAATTTCACACACCACGATACACAGACGCTGAGGCGACGTGGTGGGTATTTATTTATTTAATAAAATGTAGCAGTTTGTAGACACTATTATATGCTAAAATGACAGATACAGAGAAATCATTTGAATGAGACCATTGTGGCTACAGGACGCTAAACATGCAGATGGTTTATAATATTACATTTACGTTACGTTTATTCATTTAGCAGATGCTTTTATCCAAAGCGACTTACAAATGAGGAAATATAAGCAAAGCGATATATCAAGCAGAGAACAATACAGGTAGTACTACCGTACAAGATCCGTTAGAGTTCCAGAAGAAGCAAAGTGCCAGAGTAAAATGAATTTTTATATAAGACATCCTGGAGTCACTGGATTCGCTCACGAATTCTCAAAGTAAATCAAATTTTTTCCCTAGAGATGCTCCTGCCTAAAAATGAAGTGGACGGAACGTTATTTATATTTGTATATTTGAACCTGTATGGCTCAAGATGCACAATTTGTGAATTTTCAATATTAAAATCTGCCCCCATTATCAATCCACGGTTAATCCTTATTTAAAAAAAACCCTAACAGTGGCCCTTTACCGAGACAACAATCCAAAGCATAAAGCAAAAAGCTTTAATTTGGTTGTTGTGTTTGGACTCAGCTGTTGGGTAATGGTATATAGAGGATCAGCAGACAATACATAGTTTTTCGAATAAAATGCCACAGAGATGTACCTCACCTACACCTACATGTGTCTTTGCTTTAAAAAAAAACAACAAAAAACAAAACCATTTGACAGTCGTCGTACATTGCTGTGGTAGAACTTCTGATTGTGCCTGACTCTTAATCACCATTCTGTGGTCTCCTGAACAATTCGGAGCACATTTCCAACAACACGAGGCAAATTTGCATCATGAGCACAGAATCCTGTGTGTCAACATGTCATGATTCTCTAACTAGTCCTTGTAAATATAGTTTTTTTTTGTGTTTGTCTGATACCATTAGTCGTGCCCTCGCCAGCGAAGCACAGAGCAAAAATGGACGACATTGTGGTGGTCGCTCAAGGAACACAGTCTTTACGCAACATCCACAACGACCCTGATGTCATCAAGCTTCAGGAGATTCCAACGTTTCAACCTCTGCTGAAGGGTAAGAGCGTTCGAGTGCAGCCGTGCTGTCTCACCACTGATCTGTCCGTCCTACAAAAAAAAGATTCCACCCATGCCATCCAGTACCCTTAATTGTTCTTCAGCTTGTTCCTCTTTAAGAACCCGACAGGTGCCATCTCTGAATTCGAGCACTATTTAGAATACATCACACCCAGAAGTCTTTTATTCCATGTATACCACAGTAAATTGTCAAGTTAAGAAATTTTTTCATTAAAAATGAACAAGACGTACATTTATAGTTATTATTTATAATTATAGTAAGGTCTCACTATAAAGATCTAATTCAACACTTACTTCCTTTTCTAATCTACGTAGGTTTGTAACAAAAACCCCGCCTTTGGTCTCCATTGGCTGCTCGTGATCAACGTGTACTTTGACCCTCCCTCAAACACTACAGTTGAGTTTGCATAAAGAAAGAATTAAGGTTTCTGTCTAGAAGACATTGTTTTCTGCGCTGCAAAAGCACAACCACTTTACATGAACTTCCAAAGGATAAGGATGTAAAGCGTCAGTGGTTAGAATTTATTTTAAAACGATTCCACAGCAGTTTTACAACAACTCCGACCTTCGTTTGTGTTCCCGTCCTTTCACTGACAGCTGCTTCTCAAATCTAGCTGAAGTCAACATGGGATTTGTGAAACGATAATTCATTAAAGATAAATATTTATGTATATATTTTCTACCAAGAGTTCCAAATGTGTAGTTTTATGTTGTATACATGTACAGCCAGTGAACAGCTGTTAGCCTGTTAGCTGTTTGAGAGAGAGAGTGAGTGAGACAGGCAGGCATCGATTCATGTCTGAAGGGAACGCTTGTTGTGATTGGTGTCGGAAAGGAAATGCCCACTACCATATACGAGTTTCAGCTCAGTAATAATGTCGGTCCGATAGTGATACATCAATCACAACAAGCGTTCTCTTCAGACATGAATCGATGTCTCACTCTCTCTCTATCTTTCTCGCTCCCTCTCTCTCGGGTTTAGGTGTCCTGAGTGGACAGACATCCCCCAGCACGGTGTCTGTGGAGAAGCTGGACTCTGTGCAAGTGCTGCAGCTGTGTGTGCGCTATCAGGACCACCTGCATCAGTGCGCCGAGGCTGTGGCCTTCGACCAGAACGCTCTCGTCAAGAGGATCAAAGAGGTTTGTCAAAATATACAGATGTGACCACAAGCGTTCCCTCGCCTCTCTCTTTCTCTCTTTCTTTCTCTCTCTCTTTCTGTGTGTCACTGTGTCGGCCAGTGTGTCTGTTGGTCTGTCGGTGTGTCTGTCTGTCTGTCGGTGTGTCTGTCTGTCTGTCGGTGTGTCTGTCTGTCTTTCGGTGTGTCTGTCGGTGTGTCTGTCGGTGTGTCGGTGTGTCTGTCGGTGTGTCTGTCGGTGTGTCTGTCGGTGTGTCTGTCGGTCGGTCTGTCGGTCTGTCTGTCGGTGTGCCTGTCGGTCTGTCTGTCGGTGTGTCTGTCGGTCTGTCTGTCGGTGTGTGTGTCTGTCGGTGGGTCTGTCTGTCGGTCTGTCGGTGGGTCTGTCGGTCGGTCTGTCGGTGTGTCTGTCGGTCGGTCTGTCTGTCTGTCGGTGGGTTTGTCGGTGTGTGTCTGTCTGTCGGTGTGTCTGTCTGTCTGTCGGCGTGTCTGTCGGCGTGTCTGTCGGTCTGTCTGTCGGTCTGTCTGTCGGTGTGTCGGTGTGTCTGTCTGTCGGTGTGCCTGTCGGTCTGTCTGTTGGTGTGTCTGTTGGTGTGTCTGTCTGTCGGTGTGCCTGTCGGTCTGTCTGTTGGTGTGTCTGTTGGTGTGTCTGTCTGTCGGTGTGTCTGTCGGTCGGTCTGTCGGTGTGTCTGTCGGTGTGTCTGTCTGTCTGTCGGTGTGTCTGTCTGTCTGTCGGTGTGTCTGTCTGTCTGTCGGTGTGTCTGTCGGTCTGTCTGTCGGTCTGTCTGTCGGTGTGTCTGTCTGTCGGTGTGTCGGTGTGTCTGTCTGTCTGTCTGTCGGTGTGCCTGTTGGTCTGTCTGTCGGTGTGCCTGTCTGTCGGTGTGTCTGTCGGTCGGTCTGTCGGTGTGTCTGTCGGTGTGTCGGTCTGTCTGTCGGTGTGTCGGTGTGTCTGTCGGTCTGTCTGTCGGTGTGTCTGTCGGTGTGTCTGTCGGTCTGTCTGTCGGTGTGTCTGTCGGTCTGTCTGTCGGTCTGTCTGTCGGTGTGTCGGTCTGTCTGTCTGTCAGTGTGTCTGTCTGTCGTGTGTCTGTCTGTCGGTGTGTCTGTCGGTGTGTCTGTCGGTGTGTCGGTCTGTCTGTCTGTCGGTGTGTCTGTCGGTCTGTCGGTGTGTCTGTCGGTCTGTCTGTCGGTGTGTCTGTCTGTCTGGCGGTGTGTCTGTCGGTCGGTCTGTCGGTGTGTCTGTCGGTCGGTCTGTCGGTGGGTCTGTCGGTCTGTCTGTCGGTCGGTCTGTCTGTCGGTGTGCCTGTCGGTGTGTCTGTCTGTCGGTGGGTCTGTCTGTCGGTGGGTCTGTCGGTGTGTCTGTCGGTCGGTCTGTCGGTGTGTCTGTCGGTGTGTCTGTCGGTCGGTCTGTCGGTGTGTCTGTCGGTGTGTCGGTCTGTCTGTCGGTGTGTCTGTCTGTCGGTGTGTCTGTCTGTCTGTCGGTCTGTCTGTGTGTCGGTCTGTCTGTGTGTCGGTCTGTCGGTGTGTCTGTCGGTGTGTCTGTCGGTGTTGGGCAGAAGGGAGACTGGGGGAGTGTGGATTGAAATTTTGTAAAATATATTTCACGTAAGTGTTTGAATTTTTTACTCAGTTAGAAAGTGCAGATCTGTCTCCACTGGGTTGCCGTGTGCGCACACTGTTCTGTAGGGAGCCATGATCGGTCATAGCAGCCTGTCTCTGGCCTGTGCGTGTGAGTGAGTCTGTAGTTTGTCAGCGTGGTTCTGTGTCGGTGTTCAGTCACTGTGCGCAGGTAGTCAGTTACAGTGTACTGTCGATTCAGGGGCAGACAGCACTACATTTTATTTTCTGTTTGTGTTTGTGTGTTCCAGTGTGTGATGTAGTTTTGAATTTGGTGAATTTGAATTCTAACTCTGTAGTGTTAGAATTTGGTGAGGTCTGATTGGTCTGATTGTTATTGTGTTAGTGAGCTGAGGTTCAGGACCAGCCGGGTGAGGAGACTCTTCTCTCGGCTCGGCAGGTCTTTGTTTAAGGTGGAGTCAGTATTTAATGGATCTTTTCGGAATTTTGCGCAGTAGAGGGAATCGGCCTAATTCGGCTCTGCAGATGTTGTTTATAGTGTTTTGGTGAACTTGTACGATTTGCAGAATTGTGTGTGCATAGTTTCAGCAGGACTTTTGTCCCACTTTTGTAAAGTTTTGGTTTGTGACTGGCCCCCAGACCACAGACCTCAGAACCATACAGCAGAATTGATTCAATTACTGATTAATATATTTATTTATATTTTTATATTTTATGGCATTTGGCAGACGCCCTTATCCAGAGCGACTTACATTTATACAACTGAGCAATTGAGGGTTGAGGGTCTTACCCAAGGGACCAACAGTGATAGCTTAGCAGTGCTGGGGCTTGAACTCTTGACTTACTTCTGCTCAGTAAACTAGAGCCTTTAACCACTGAGCCACCACTGCCCAATATAATCTGAGCCAGATTCAAATTGGAATTTGCCTGTCTCTCTCTAAATTTCTATTTCTGCCTCTCTCTCTATTGCTATTTCTGCCTGTCTCTCTCTCTCTATCTCTATTTCAATTTCTGCCTCTCTCTCTCTCAATTTCTATTTCTGCCTGTCTCTCTCTCTTTCTGCCTCACTCTTTCTGTCTGTCTCTCCCTCACTCTCTCCTTCTGTCTCTCTCTTTCTGCCTACCTCTCTCTCTCTCTCTGTCTCTTTGTTTCTCTTGCTCCCTCTTTCTGTCTCCCTCTTTCTGAATCTCTCTTTCTCTCTGTGTCTCAGTTTTTTTTGTATTATTTCCAGTATCTCTCTCTCTCTTTGTGTCTCTGTCTCTCACTCTTTCTTTCTCTCTGTTACAATAGAAGCTACTATAGAAACAGTAACATATCAGAACGAGTGCATTAATACAAACCCGTCAGTAGGTTTGTAAGGAAGAAGCTGTTGTCTGAGCCGTGCCGTTATACAAAAATAATAACGCACAGCATATGACCAATCAGATTTGAGTATTCAACAGCTCTGATTTTAATGCTTAAGGACACTGTTTGTTTCTCTGTGTGTGTGTGTGTGTGCACATGCTGTATTTCAGATGGACCTGTCGGTGGAGACGCTCTTCAGCATCATGCAGGACAGGCAGAAACGCTATGCCAAATACGCCGAGCAGATCCAGAAAGTGAACGAGATGTCCATGATCCTGCGGCGGATTCAGATGGGCATCGACCAGACCGTGCCTCTGATGGAACGCCTCAACAACCTGCTGCCCGAGAGCGAGCGCCTCGAGCCATTCAGCATGAAACCTGACGCAGAGCTCAAGTAGACGGCCGCTGGTGTGCCGGAGACCCTGTTAGAGACTGAAAGGTCACACTGTTACATGCTGAATGACAAAATCTCATTGTGTAAATACAAAACATTAACTTTCCAGATATCATTTTGCAGCTTCAAAAAGTCTCTAAAAGTCATGATATTTTGCACTCACAGGATTGGATCTGATGTTACTCATCCACTACTGTCACGTTTTACACTTTCATGTTCACATGTCACTGAGTTACCCTTCTCTGCAGCTTGTGACGTTTTAAAGCAAAGTGAACCGTGCTAATGACTGCTTTTCAGATTCCACTCAACCAGTAATTATTGATTTGATGGTGAGATGATGAACAGATGACTGAGATTAACATATCTGTGGAAAATTAAAGGACAATTTCATGTTTGTGTTTAAAACTCTCCATGGATCTGTGTCGGTTCCTACTGCTAAAATATACACAGAAATCACAAAGAGTTCACTATCAAAACATTTCCCTTTTACTAAATCCTTTTACTTTATGAAACACTTATCCTTACTGAATCACTTTTATCCTTACTGAATCACTATTTGTCTTTATTGAATCACTTTTTCCTTACTGAATCACTTTTATCCTTACTGAATCACTATTTGTCTTTATTGAATCACTTTTTCCTTACTGAATCACTTTTATCCTTACTGAATCACTATTTGTCTTTATTGAATCACTTTTTCCTTACTGAATCACTTTTATCCTTACTGAATCACTTTTTCCTTACTGAATCACTTTTTTCTTTACCAAATCACTTTATACGGAATAACTGTCTTTACTGAATCACTTTTTTCTTAATGAATTACTTCTATTCTTACTGAATCAGTTTCCTAAAATAATTACCCTTTTCCGTACCAAATTATTTAACTTACTGAATCACGTTTTGTTCCCTTATCGAATCACTTTTCCCCAAATGAATCACTTCTTCTTTCCCCTCACTGAATAATTTTTCATCTCACTGAATCATTATTCACCTCGCTGAATCCCCTTTTCTCCTTATTAAATAATATTTTTCCTTTCCAAAATCATTCAGTGCGTTTACATGGACGACAATAATCCAATATGAACCCGATTAAGACAATACTCGGATTAACAGTGATTTTTAATTACCCTAATCCGATTAAAGTCATGTGGAGTACTCCTGTTTTAGTCGCATTATGGACGTGTATTACAGACATGTAAACACCTTAATCACATAATGAACGTTGTGTGAGAGTTTTCACCGCATTTTGCGACAGGACACGATCACACACGGCAGTGATCAACCAAACGAGAGCACGGCTGCGTCCCAAACCGCGTACTTACCTACTATAGGCCTATAATAGGAGAAATACATGTATCTCGGCTACGATATAGACGGATTCAACTGCCCACGGATTCAAGCAGTTGTCTATAGCACGTATAGAATGACAAATAATTAACTGCACTTGAAGCGTTTGTAATTAAAATAAAAAATAAAAACACCCCAAACTGTATACGGTGCCATAACGAAGACGAACTGTATGTTGATGCGTGAAATTCGTAATGACGTGTGCCGTTAATCGAACTATGTTTCAGATTCTATGTTCTAGTATTCTAAAAGCGACTCATGAAAACACCTTAATCAGAATACTGCCTTAATCAGAGTACGGTCAATAATTATATTATTGCTGTCCATGTAAAGGTAGTCACTGTTTGTTCTTACCGAATCACTTCTCTGATTAAATTCTTGTGCTTCTTGGGATCAGATGAGTTGTGGGTCGGTGCCGTTAGCTCTCCGCTCCAGCAGGTGGCAGCAGAGAGAGAGAGTGTGTGTGTGTGGAGGGAAGGAACTAAGTGGAGAAGGAGTTTGAGTAACAGCCATGAGCCGCCTCGGCTCCGTACAGCAGAAAATCCCCTGTGTTTTTCTCACTGAGGTGAGGGAGGAAGCGTCCAGAAAGCGGGACGGACAGGTGAGGAGACGCTCGTCTCGATTCGATAGTATCTTAAAGTAGCGCGCGATTACAGCACGGTTCTAGACATCATGTAGTGTGCGGTGCGCGGTTTGGGACGCAGCCCCGTCATCATTCTGTCTGTGTTATGTCGAATTCTGTTATTTCTGAATATTTTACTAACATCTTCCATCCCTTTTCTCTTCACTGCTTTGAACAGTGCTCCAAATATTCAAAAATAAATTGTTTATTGATTTAAGTTTGTTCTTTGTCTAATCTAATTTTGGACTTATATTATTATTATTATTATTATTATTATTATTATTATTACAACAAGAAGTAGTAGTAGTAGTAGTAATAAAATATTATTATTGCTAGAATATGTAGAGACGGTTGTGCCTTCTTTTCACATCTTTTCTTAAAATTGTTTTTTTTGGTAAATTTTAGTTTGTGGGAATCAGTTTATCCATCCATCCAGTTTTATTCCATCATTCTCCCAACCCACCCATCTTCTCTCCTTCCACCAATCCACCCATCTTCTCTCCTTCCACCAATCCACCCATCTTCTCTCCTTCCACCAACCCACCCATCTTCTCTCCTTCCACCAATCTACCCATCTTCTCTCCTTCCACCAACCCACCCATCTTCTCTCCTTCCACCAATCTACCCATCTTCTCTCCTTCCACCAACCCACCCATCTTCTCTCCTTCCACCAACCCACCCATCTTCTCTCCTTCCACCAACCCACCCATCTTCTCTCCTTCCACCAACCCACCCATCTTCTCTCCTTCCACCAACCCAGCCATCTTCTCTCCTTCCACCAATCCATGCATCTGCATAGAAGGATCCTTCTATTTTCTTTCATTCCTTCCATTGTTCCTTCAATCTTCCTTCCTTTACTTGATCAATTTATGCATACTCACTAGTGTGAACAAGTTACAGCAGTATCATATTCATACCTCGGATTTAAGATCTAGAATATAATTTCTTGAATATTTCCAAATAAAGTGGCTGTGTCTTCAAGAGCTCCCAGATAGTTGGGAATAAATTATAATCACAAAGCTCTTTCTAGTAAGCTGGACAAAGGCTTCGCACTGTACACTTCATGAAACAGGCTACACGTGGAAGAAATTCCTATTTCATATCTAACACACTGTAAATAAATACAGTTTAGGAATAACAGTTCGAGGAACGTGAAGGAGGGTGACGGATCTCGATGTTTTAGAATTGGCAGGTGTCGCCACGGATACGGTGAACCCACTGGCTGTCGAGTCGGACGTCCACCATGCGCTCGCCACAGAAAAGCTGGATGGCACGTGCTGCTACGTCACTCTGTACAGAGGTGCCGCACATCTGCATGCTGGATAGATGTTATTTCCTGTATCACAATCGGTTCTAATCATTTTATTTTTTATGTTGAATATGAGGTTACAAGCTTGTTGTCTTAGTAACAAGTCCTACCACAGCTTCAAAGTACACACACATTCAGAATCCCATTAAACCCTTGACACACACAAAGACCGCAGCTGAGGTTTGCTTTTCAAATAACACCCACTAATTGTTTCTATCTGTTCTTCAGGAGAACCGTACCTCTGGGCTCGCCTGGATCGGAAACCCACCAAGCAGGCGAACAAGAAGTTCAAGAAATATCAATATTTTCACAAGACCTGTATAGGTAATATTTTTTTGGTGTTTAATTTATTTATTAATTTTCATATGATTTTATTTTCATGTGATTCAGTTACATGTGATTCATATTCGTATGATTCATTTACATGTGATTCATATTCAAGTGACACATTTTCACGTGATTCATTTACATGTGATTCATATTCAAGTGACACATTTTCACGTGATTCATTTACATGTGATTCATATTCAAGTGACACATTTCCACGTGATTCATTTACATGTGATTCATATTCACGTGACACATTTCCACGTGATTCATTTACATGTGATTCATATTCATGTGATTCATTTACTAATTTGCTTCTCTTTAAATCCAGTTTTAGACCGTGATATTACAAAGGTCTTTCCAGTAAAATTGCCTGAATTCTATAATATCATTTGTTTATTTTTTTTATTCAAACCTCCATCACTCAGCTTTATATTAATAGCAGTGCAGTGTTCGGTTACAGTTCTGCCATAAAGGACGTGTTTTGTTTCCCAACTCTAGGTTTCACGTGGAACGTGGAAGAAGATTTCCGAACCGTGCCTGAATCC